GCTTCATTACTTAACGTATCAATTCACTCAACAAAACAAAAATCATTATTACTTCGAAATCTGAACTTCATAAAATAGGTTGTTATTGGTAACAACCAGTCTGACCAAAAATCGAAAAAAATTACTTACTTAATATAACGTAATGAAAGTGGAATAAGCATTTACTTCCCCTGAAACACCATTCAAATTGTTATATCTGATCAAGAATTTAGTTCACCGTAAGCATGATCCAGACACGATTGCTCATATTTCTGTATCCAATCTAATGGAACACAGTCGAAATTAAACGAGTTTTAGATGAATTTCATTCATACGTAGTCGTGAAGCTGCAAAATGTGAAGTCGACGACTGTTGCCGTGAAAGGGAATCAACCATGTTGGGAGCAAGAATTCATTTTGTGAGTGCTTTCATCTGCTTTCTTGATCTAATAAGCCCTCTTGAAACACATAACATGGCCACTCAACTAGCTGTGCAAATGCACCTGCAAATCATGCGCTTTGCGTCGATTATTCGAAAATTTTCATTTCTTGAGATGTTCCCACTTTATCGACTCATCTATCAAAACGTCCTCATTAGATCAAATTTGCGAAATTTGTATTCATTGTGCATGACTATTACGGGTCAATCAGTGGATAATAATGAGGTAGAACAGAGTGAAAAATAATTTGACGATCGTCTGTTTTGCTGTAATTAAAAGAATTCTAAATTACTGGCTCAAATGTTCCGAAAAATCCTACGTTAGTGCTTTATTCCTACTAGAATTGTAGTGTGCGCTAGAAGTTCGGTATTCCTACTAGAACTATTGGGTATGTGATAGAAGCGATTGTTGTTATTTTCAGCGAGACAAACCGTCTCGACAACGGTATGATGCTGGAGCTTTGGAACAAGGGTGTACTATGGGACAAGTTGATTGGTTTGTATTCATTGCGCATTTATGAATTCAGTCAGGAAATTGCTTTACACTCAGACAATAATGTCAAAATCAGTCATTGCATTCAGCAAACACTTCAATAAATTCTAGTCAAACAACCGGGAACAAATGAATTTCTCGGTAAATGAATCTCATGTAAAAGTTAGTTCAGCCAACCCTCGTCACGCTACTCTCAGAATTTTATGCTCATATAAAAAGGCATCAATGATTCGTGTGAAAAGTTTCGGAACTGGTAAATAAATTTCCCAAGCCATCGATAATTTCTTTCATAAATCATTTCTTGTTGCCTTCCGTATGGATTCAGTGGTTATAGTTGAACGTTTCGATAAGTTATATTGATTTCATGTGGTGGAAAGCACTGGATAAGTTGCAGTTCAGCTCTGTTATGTGCTCGCCAAATGATTCGCTTCTTTTCAGGTGTACATTATATGCCGTTGACTTCAGTGCAATACAGCAATGAGACAGGCGCTGGGAAATGGCTTCAAATAGATCAGGAACTCGAGACAAGGAACGGTCAAACCATTGGTACAAGTCGACCGACTGGTCACTCGTTACTCGTCGACGTGCGATTCGAGTTACCGTTCGGTAGGCCAGCGACTTTTTTAATCATTGCAAGAACTCTTGTGCATTCGAATGTTTTGTCTTGGTTAATGACGACTTTCACTGTGTTGTCGCTATGGTTTCAGATGCTCAAGGCTCAGACGCTGAAGAATTACAAGCGAAACTGCAGGCGTTAAACAAGCTCATTGAAGTTAATGTAAGTCGTATGTGTCATTCGCTGTTAACGTCACCAGACTGCATTCATTCCTAGGGGCAGTTCCACAGGAATCATTAATTGCTCGAATTCTTATTGTGATAATTGCTGATTCAAGCATAATGTTCCATCCACCTATCTCGTCACGTAGATCAAAACTGCAGTCTATGCTTGTTTCCAATCCAATCGATTTAACGAAAGTATGGAAAGCATAAACAATGAACTCTGCTAGAACTACAGTGATTATAAAGTTGCAATATCTTCACGATTTGA